TTACGGCGTCGCAACATCTTGGGAAGATCAAGAACAATCATATCCTCATCGCCTCGACCCTTAGGCCAGTGCTTGGGATCGGTATCCAGGATGTCGTCGGCATAGATGCACATGAAATTAATCCTGATGCGGTCTCCGTACATGGTCCACGGCTTTTCGAACTTGTATAGATCTAACGCATTATTCTCAATATTCTCGAGTAATGAATAATGCATCTGAGCAGCAATAGACCATGCCTGGTAGCTCGAACCCCAGACCTCATACTTGAGCTTGTTAATGGGAGTTTGGTATACCATTGTATCGTCTTGCACTCTCAGCCATCTGTGTTGCGGCCACGCTGGTGGAGGCTTCTCAATGTCCAAGGTGAAATTTTTCGGGCCATCCCAGAATCCATGCCGGGAGGGTTTCCAATAGTCGGCGCCGTTTGTAACGTAACTTGGCTGTTCGGGCTCGGGGAAGTATGGGTGCAGTGCACCAAATCTGAAGTGCATGAAGCCTAATGGAGGATTGTTGATGATATTACCAGAGACAACGAAGTCTTCTGGATGGCCGACTTTTCGGGCTACAAGGTTAGGGATAGCATTATCATCAATCCAGAGCTAAAGAAGAATGGATTAGTATGTATCGCCATACCGGTAGCAAGTAATCCTCCGCCGAAGCCAGAATGAAGCCCAGGCAAACATACAATATCGTCGTCAATCTTCACATAATACTTGCCACGCTCCAAGAGCTGCCAAGCCTTATAATATGTGTATGTCGATAAGGGTTTTTCGGGGATAATCTTCTTATATCTCGTTGGGTTACTGGCGATTATTTCGTCGAGGTAATGAAGATCTCCCTCGTTTTGGGTGTTGGCAATCCAGAGGACTTCGTCGAGCCAACCTCCATTATCGACCAAGTTTCGCTGCATGAAACCCATTAGCAGTCATGGCCCCAGCTAGGGCCTTGTTCAGGTACTGACCTCTAAATAGCATCGCATGCTTGATACCCTACTTTTGCGACCATAAAAGACAAATCCGCTAACAATCACACCTTCGGGCTTAACAAGCGATTTCAGGGGTGCTTCGGTCAAGCCCATGACCTCGGTGCCTTTCAATTGAATGGATAAAGAAGGACAAGTGTGGAATCGAAGTAGGAATCCGGCTAAAGTGAGAAAACAGGTGGCGACGATGGCAATTTGCAGCGGCTTGTGGCGAATCATGAACGGCCGAATGAATCCCATCCTGAACAGCGGAGATGTGGAGGAAAGTTGGTGAGTAAACTACAGGCAGCAGGAGGCTCATTGTAGCACCACAATATCTTTAATTTGACAGTCTGTCGGTCTTTGAGGCTAATATTGCCCTGCACAGCGATTGCGTCTG